CTTTGGAAGCAAAGCACTTGCATCTGATGTTCACAGAAAGACGACATGGTGGAAGAAGAGCAGCAGCCGGTGCTTCACAAATGTACCAAACGTCATGAAAGCAGATATTTGAGCACATTTCAGTTTTTACGAAAAGAACATGCATGAATGAGAAAAGGTGGGTGATGTGATTGATATGAAAAAGAGTTAAATGCGAAGTCAATGTGACACTGGCACTGACAAGTAAAGATTCACACCACAAATATTTAAGAAGCTTAAAGCGTAGGGAGACTGACTTTATTATGTAATTTGCAGTAGAGGTCTTCATGGGTCCACTTGGATCCGAAAACCTGAGGTCCAAAACTTCGACGAGTGCCTCGGACACGGGTCGGGTTCGGTACTAGCGGCCTCGGGTAATTTAAAATAAATGTGTTTTTTCCAAATGGACCCAATAAGAGCCGAATTCTTTTAAAACTATCCCAGATGTGTACTTGCACATTCGTGTGAAGTGAGGAATGCACATAGAAAAGGAGTATACGTTTGTAACCTCGCACACAGAAATCATCTTATAGATCTGAGATCCATCAGGAAAATCCACTTGCTTCATTATGCTGCGTGTTCATGCAGGGCTTTTCTTTTTTGTGTGCAGAAGCCTTTCACCGGAGATTAGGTTGCAGACAACAATCATTAGGCAATCGATTTAATTTTTATCAAACTATCACGTTTATTTTTCAAATCCACTGGTCACAATTAAAAGCCGAACTCAGAAATAGCTTGTATCCATCAGGCAGGCAATAATATAAAGTAACAATAAATGTTAAATAAATCAAAAGAAGCAGCCAAATCAGTCAGCAGTACACCGCGATTTTTCTTTACTGACTGCAGGGCTGCAGGCTGTGCACACGTCAATGCCATTTACAGTCGGGTTCGAAAATAAATGCCGTCGGTCTCTGGTCTAATTTCATCGGGTCGGGTATTTCTTTAAAAATATATATATATATTTATGCACGTTGAAGTGATTCGGGTCGGGTACAGAGTTTAGGACCTGAGAAGACCTCTAATTTTCAGTGCTTCATGGTAGTGGAAGGAGCTAAAGTGTCACTTTGGTGTGATTTTCTTAATTCGATTCCCAGATTGGAGATTTCTTTGCAGAATTATGGGTAATGGAGTTTTTCCACCAGGAATTCCACTATTAAACATTTAAAAACTATTGAAACAATGCTGGCAAATGGCTTCAACAAAAGCAGGTACCATGGATTGATTACATGGCACTCTATAGTCTACATGGCCTTCTCTCTAAAGCTAGTAAGCTTCCTATCTAGACAAAGTAATATTGTCTAAGCAGACACCTCACTAGATTGAGAGGACTGAGGCTGCAATATTGTCTAGGTAGGTTGCACAAGGTTTTTAAACTATGATGCCTAAAAATACAACCTTGATAGGCAGCACATCGAGTTTTCAGACTGTGACGCCCTTACTGATTTTACAGGCAAGCCACACACTAGTTGAATGAATGAATGAATGCTGTCTAGTTAGGCAACAATTTAGTTTTTAAGACCAGTATTTACAAGAAAGATGCAATCAATCAATCCTATTTTAGGTGGAAATGTGACTTACAATAGTTTGGTCTTGATTTTGACAATCTTCTGGTTGAACTGCTGAGCCTGTTTGATCAGTCCCAGAGACTCCAGCGTTTCAGGATCTAATCTCTCCTTCAGCATACCATCAGGAACACAGATCTGAAAACGACAGACAACAATGCCTTTAATTAGACACTCTTCACCAACACTGCTGTGGAAGCTCTATCAGGAGGATAAGACCAGTATTAAATTAATCAAAACGCTGGAATAATATCTCTGCATCCATCAGCGTAGCACTGCCCACATCCCACCTCAATGGCATTCAGCTACACTTACATAAGACATTAATAACACTGCATAACAAGCCCGTATTTGCATACTAATCAGCCGTACAGTGGTTTAAATGAAAAGAAGAGAGCAGGCACACTGCAGGTCTTGATGAGTCACCCTGACTGCCATTACAAATGCATCGTGTTCTGCCACAACAAAGATGTGAAACATGCTCCGGTTTGAGGCCTAGCTCAAATACCCACAGCCGCTGTGAATGCGTTTCGTTTCATTCCAGCACAGTGCTGGAGGTTCGGTCAGGGGAGGAGAATTTTTCACTAGAGGACAGAATTTGGGCCACTCAATCCTCTAATGCAGCTAATCTTCAGAGTCAGGGGATCGGCCACCCACTTACGTATGCATGCAAAAAAAAGCATATCGTCAACCGCAGTGTGTGCTGTAGTGCTGGAGAGATGGGCGATGTGTCTCAAAGCGCTTTACTGCCACACAGTGGTCATGAAGACAATCACACGCTGCTCTACTCACCAAACAGGCTCCAACCAGCTGGGTAAAATGATCTCGCTTGTGTTTCTCCTCCAAACAGCCAGTCTCAATATCTGCAAAATCAACAATTACACATGCACGTCACGTGAATCACTAAAGTCAGATGTACATAACGTATAAATTAATTCTTGATGTGTTATGTACATCTACTGTCATTTTAATTGATGGTTACAGCAATTATTTGAAAGTGCACACTGTTCTTTTACAGCCTGTTAAATAAGCTTTGTAACAAGAAATGAATCTGATTGATCTTTGTCAGGGTAGACGCCATTCTCAATTTTAAACAGATGTCATTGAGGATCTGATGGATTGACTTAATCTTTACAATGGCATGCAAATGCATAAAGGTTTTAGATTAGATGTCATTTCCGAAACTCACTAATTGAATTATGGAGTTTTTGCTTACTAAAGGTTTTTTTTGTAAAGAGGTTTCATCAGCTAAACAATTGCCATGTTAAATGTCTAGTATTCGTGATACTGGAATGTCTAACTTCTATCTATACAATAAGGGCCTAAAATTTGTAAGGGCATAAAAAAAAAGTTACTTTTTTACCACAGACATTTTATCAGTTAAAGTATTTTCTTAGCTGAAACTCTGCTGTCTGAGTCTCCTTAGGCCCAATGGCACTTTTATATAATTATAACAATTTATAATAATATATAATAATAGAAATATTCAAGACAGAAATACATTATTGTTATCATAATAAAACTGCACTTTAAAATAAATGTAAAAGAAGAGATGGTGGAGAGAGCACAGCTGTATCGGTCTAAAAATATTGCGGAAAATGCAAAGAATTTGCCTTTCTGACATTGCTATATTGAGCACGCTGTAAAACTGTAGCCCTTTTTAAAACAGGCCGGCAAAAAATCCATTTCAAAGTAGCTGGTGGTTAAATATAAGTGGATATTCTCATTGTAAAGGATATTTTAGTGGGCAAAAAAAATTCTATGTGACTAAATTCTTCCGTGTTTGGAAGAAACAAATCCATAACATAATTTGAAATTGCAGTTAATATTATGAATTTCACTGGTTTAGCTTTTGAAAAATTCTTCATAATGTAAAGAGTATGTTCATTTATATGTAAAAAAAAAAATATATATATATATTTTTAAAAATACAAAATAATCATGATTATCAGTTTAATCAGCATGCAGCCCTATTTCGCAGGGTCTTCAAAACAAAACATTTATCGGTAACAAACTAACACATGTTTTGTGTAGGTTTCAAGAGCTGTAGCATCTCCATGTAACATTAAATTAACATTTGAATCAATCACACTGAGCCTGACAAACGAACAGCAGGGAATTTGATGGGAGCTTCATTAGAATAAGTTCAGCAGCTGAATTATGCAAACATCTGTCAGAACAGCGATCTATGTGGACACACGACTGCAGTTTAATAAACATGTTCACTCATGCAAGTAACAAAACTGTCTTTTATACAAATGCATCCTGGCTCTTTCTTCACCAGGACAAATGAGATGACACTGTCTGGCACACTCCTTTCACCAGCATTAGCATGTATAAACATACGGCGGGACTTACCTAATATACAGAAAACATCAGCTAAAATAGAAGGCATATCGTCCCGCAGCTCCTGAAAGACAAACGCAATTGCTTTCGTTTCAATGGCACATTGTACAAATGTTTACAGCATTTCAATTTCACAGGATTTCAACGTCTCTCTTTTTCCCGGTGGAGATTCCAGTTCACTGGAGGACGGTGGACAGCACACTAGATGTAGGCTAGCAGAAGTAGCAGATCTATCACTGGTACACTTCAGCTGTGTTTAGAAGGCTAGTTTCATCTGGCTGGATGAGATGTCACAAGCAATCTGTGGAGGGATTCTGTGTCCATGCTCCACAGATCAAACGTCACTACTGCTGTGAAAGAACGCGTGTAACGTCTGATTCAAAAAGTTTAAAGAAAACCTAATTGAGATACACACGGGACAGCAAACTTCATAACTCAGCAGGACAGAGTTTGTGAGGGTGCTGAGATGGAACAGTCCTAGCAGAACTTCACAAGGTGTTTGCACCGTAACATGCTATTTACTTCAGGCGCTAGGCCAGGGGTGTCCAAACTTTTCCTAAAGGGGGCCAGATTCGACGATGTGCTTTGTTGAGGACAAAAATCTGCAAATATCTTGTTTTTAAAGCTTTGATAATTATTAACATAGTTCATAATTATAACATAGAATGGCTTTATGGTATTTAATCTATTAACACATGAACAGCTGCGGGCCGCTTAAAATTCATCCACGGGCCGCATTTGGACACCCCTGCGCTAGGCATTCAAAGCCACTCACATAAGTTTAGATTAAAAAGCAAAAAAACGAAAGCAGTCGACCTCCAGAAAATGTGTTTCCTGTGACCGCTTGTGAACGTTGAAACCCTGCCCTCCTACTTCCTTACACTCGACATCACTTTTAGTGGGACCAATGTTTAAAACTTTAGTTGGGAGTTTGTTCTGATCAGCATGACGAAACATCACTAATAAAAAGCTGTGTCTATGTCAAGGTCGTTGTAGTCGGAGGATTTCTGATATGCAGCAAAGTGTGATTTTTCCCTGTAACCAGAAAAATCTTGTTTGTCTACAAAGAATGGTTGAAATTTGAGTAATGTTCTCTTTTGTGTCCAACTGTGAAGCAATAGTTCACCCAAAAACCAGACACCTGTCATGTATTTCACAATGTCGCTCCAAACCCTTATGACTTCATGATCTTATGTGAAACATACAGTAATGCATTTTAAAGATTGCTAGTTGTTACAATAAATGGGGGAGACTTTCAAGCTTCAAAAAGTTGCATGAGCCCAGAATATGCAGCATTAAAGTAGCCCATGTATCTCAAGAGCTAAAATGTTTCTGAAGTCGCATGATAGCTTTGAATAAGGAACATACTGAAATTTGAAATGATAATATTTCACACTAATGGGCTGTTAACAGCTGCTACCAGATCATTGAAAAGAATCAGATCTGTTCGATTTGTGAACAAATCATTCACCATTGTTCTGTGAACTTAAACCGATTCATTCCCCACACAGAGCTATCATACGACTTCAGAAAAAATAGAGCATAAGTCATATGGACTACATCAGGGCTTTTCCTTAGAAGTGAAATATTTACTTGAAATACCCCAGGAGATTTTAAGTTAATATTTAAATAACTTAACAGATTTATATGTTTACATACAATAAAACTACACTGAAATATCATATTGCTACTAGAGCCCAACCGATATGTTTTTTTTTTTGGGCCGATACCGATATTATGGGGTAAAAAAAAAAAAAGACCGATATCGATATATCGGCCGATATTATGTGTAAGCTATATAACAGTACAGTATAGTCAAAAGTTTGGACACACTTCCCATTCGTGTCTCCAAACTTTTGACTGGTACTGTATATAGAATACAGTATATACATAAACGGAATATATATACATAAACACATTTTTTGCAACTATAACTCAAATGTGGTGATCAAACACTTGTGTGTCACTATATGACAAATAGGCCTATGTAATGGAAGCAGAGTATTTAACAATTTAACAAACTTTATTATTCAAAATGAGTCTGACATCAGTGCACTTAACAGTAAACTTTAAATATAGGTGCGGGTGGGTGGCGGGCGGATAATTTATTTGAAGTAGCAGACTCGGGTGAAGTTTGAGCTCATCCACGCATCTCTACACTGACCTGAGTCGCCAGTAGCAAACAATGGAGCGCGCTCTGCTGGAAAAACTAAGTAATTACACCACTTAGAAGCATTTCATCTGCATTATATGTTCCGTAAAAAAAAAATGTTCATATCGGCGGCATATTCGCCAATACGATATATCTGTGACAGGCTCATATCGGCCGATAATTTTGGCAAAACGATATATCGGTCGGGCTCTAATTGCTACTGCTGAGACACAAAGATCAAATACTCAGCCGCTAGTGAAAAGAGTTACTTTTAAGGGTGTTGATACTTGGGTTCATTCATTATGTCTATCAAACATTCAAACCATCAAGCTGTTAACATGGCAAATCCTTAACCTTTTATTTTGGTGGGATATTGGTCAAATGCTGGCAATTGTGCAAATGTAGATGTTTGTGTGTATAAAATGAACCTAGCATACATAGCATTCCCAAATGTGCGTTAAACTGATTTTACAAGATGTAGTTTTTGAGAAGCAGCGTAACTGCAAACCATCTGCTCTGAAAACACGATATTAAAAGCTGCGTGTAAATGTAGACAGTGCAACAGACTATATACTTCTTTATTTAAATCACAGCCTTTGATTTGATAATTGCAACTTGAGGACATATCGTTATTTAGATTAATTGTGCAGCTCCACTTGTTTATTTTAATGTTACTTCGATTTAACTATCTTTTCATTGACTAATGTTCCCACAAAAAAACAGCTAGGGGTTTGCGAAACCCTTGACTAGCTCAATAATACTTTGTCATTTTGGAGCTTGAGAATCGTTATCCACATTCACTTCATTGCACTGAAAAGTGGCCAGAATATGTTCACAATATTGTGAATCACACAGGATTAATATGACACATGATGGTGAGTAAATGATGACAGAATGTTCATTGTTGAATGTTATGAGACGGGATCAGCACTCACCATTACATCAGCCAGGAGACTGGCAGCCACATCCACCTTCAGATTGCCCTGGATAACATGCCAGCAGAGTTCATACAGGGCTGTCTGCAGATCTACAAGACAAAACACACACACACACACACACACACACAGCAGACTCAATAACAGCTTTCAGTTCCTACAGTCATGCTGATAACACCTGCACAATATTAAACAGAGCTTCTCGCCACAACCTTGTCAAGAAAAACACTAGGGCTAACCAAACAGGATGACCCATGAGCAGTGTGAGAGTGTTTTGGTCAGGTGACAGAACGGTCCCTCTCTCTTTGGGGCCAGTGCTTGCATTCTTTTGTTTGTTATTCATATGCTTGTGTATGTTGTAAACTTGTAAACTTTGTTGTTGTGAATTCAGTTGATTAAAGTGCCCCTATTATGGGTAATGAAAGGTTCATATTTTGGTTTTGGGAGTCCTTAACAACATGTTGACATGCATGCAAGGTCAAAAAACACTTTCATTGTCTTATAATATGCATTTATTTTTACCTTATTTGCTCAACGACTCCCAAACGATTCGCTCAACGATTCATTTTTCCAAACCCCTCCTTTGCGTGACCTAATCTGCGGTGATTGGTCTCATTTCATCTCTCCTGTAATGCCTGATAAAGCAGCGTTTGTGAGCGCAGTGCTGCTTTGTATACAGCGTTACCGGGGAAACCGCTATTTTTACTGCTCCAAAAGTGGCACCTAGTGGCAAAGAATGAATCTGCATTTTCATTCAGAACAACGCAAAAAGACCAACAAGTGGGCGGGCAATATGCTAATGTTTCATGTTGACGTCAACATGAAACGGCTTGGGATTCTTTTTAAAAACGACTTGTTTCAATGATTCGGAGTCGACTCTTTGTTTTGAGAGACAATAACTTTATACACGGTGCACTTTCAGATTTAAAACTTTGCAGGATGTTTTCATTCACTTAGAGCCGTGTTACACACTGCATGAAAGGTAATTTTCAAAAATCCATAATAGGGGCACTTTAAAACTGTCACCAAGGTTATCTAGATGGTTGCAATAGGTTGTGTTAAAATTGCAACAATGACTCATCATATTATGAGTAGCATCAGTTAGAATCGATAATGAGAAATCAATAAGACTTTCATTAACATTTCCCAGTGACCGTTTATGAAGTTTATAGTTGTCATACCAGGGCTCCAGACTGCGTGACTACTGTATTTGAGACCAAAACTATTAATTTGCAAATTATATTTTTGCTGAGATTGTCACTGGTGACTACATAAATTTACATGTTGTGACTTGTACATGTGGTTTTCCTTGCGATCACATCTTTTGTTATGGTGACGTAATAAACTGAAACGATGTGCATCAAAGTTTTAGTTGAAAAAAGACAAACAGTCCGTCCTCATCTCTGCTGAACACCAGCGTTGACTGCACACCAGTTGTGGCAGCATGAGAGAGATCGAAAATGACGGAGACGTGCGAAGAAAAAGTGCACAGCTTGAACAAACTACAACAGGTAAAGCTGTCATCTGTGTGGATATTAGCAATATCGTAACAATTCTCGTTTATAATCGATACTAATATGGCTTCTTGTTAACAAGATCGTATGCTGCGTATATTGAAGGTTAAAATTGACTGATTTGTTAAAATTACACTTAATGACGTTTTTAAAATAATAAAGTTACAATTACATAATATTTCTACTTCAATTGTTTTTTTTTTAATATAAACAATGGTGGCTGTAATAAAAACTTGATGGATTTATTCAAACATAAATTAAACATTGAAGAACAGTAAAAATTATAATGTATATGTTATATGGTGCATATATTTAGCAAAATGCCCCTCTCTACAGTTTATTTTCTAACTAATGAGTTCATGGTCACCGAATATGTTTTTCTGAGGTAAATGTGACATTACGTGACATTGTACAAGCCGTTATCGACGTCTTTGCGCGACTGAAACACTGATTGAGAGATTACATGAGACAGGATACGGATTGTAAAGTTGTACTCTTTCTTTTAACTTACCTTCGGATGTTTAGTCATGTTTATTTTGTGTGCTGAAACTGGCATTAATGTGGAGATGATCAGTTCACGTGCACCTCGCTACAGCAATCTGTCACTACACATTAAACAGCGCTAAAACGGCATTTATTGTTTGAATATTGACAGAATTTGAAATCTGAGACTTTGTTTCATATTAAAAGTACTAAAGCACAATGCTTATTGCGATTTACTGGATGGGAAGTGTGCTTAAACGTTACGTCCATTAACTGAAAACAGGCTAGACTACTCGATTCTTGGGATTTAAGAATCGCTATCGTTCCGTAAAAATGAGAATAGATTAATATCGAGATATCGATATTTTTTTACCCAGCCCTACGGAGCACGATGCAAAAAAGCACATAATTCAGTGGGAAATGAACAAAGTTTATTCTGTATAAAGAACACGCGAGAATAAATCTGTTCTCAGAGACCAATGATAACAAGAACTCAGCATCCCCTCTCTTCTTCGGTGTTTGTTTACACTTGTTTTGTAACAGCGCCACCACTCTCGCCCTTTTGTGCAACAGCAGCTGCTCCGGGAACATGATTTAAGCTCGAATCGGATTGGACCGCCCATTTCATCATGGAGCGATGGGGGGAAACAAATCGACACAGGGCGGGAATAAAAAACTCTCGCTTTTTCACACACCGCGAATAATCGTGCATGGTGTGAACAGACCCATAGGGATCTATTGTTTTGATTCAAAAGCATCATCGCGCCAAATTTTTGCGTTCAATGTGGAAAGGCCTTTACTGAAACGTCTCATGTAATTGCTCATTCAGTGTTTCAAACTGCGGAAAATGTGTAAAGCAACGTGTAAAAACAATGCCACGTAACAATCATTTACCTCAGAATAACCATTCGGCGTCCATAAGTTCATTAGTCAGCTAGAAAAAAAATAACTATAAAGAGGAGCATCTTGCTAAATATATGCTCTATATTGCATATTCATATTTTTACTTAACCTGTTGTCTACAAGATAAGAAACAATGCAAGGAGCTAAAGATAAAATTCAACATCTCCTATATAACTGCATGTTACTAATGAAGAAAAACAGGTGTGCAGGACATATGACAGCATTTATTGGATGCATTGAGGAGGAGCCCAAACTACACTCAATGGCCAAGTGATGCTGACATAGTTATAGTCTGTGATATTGGCACAGATTCTGTGTACTAAACAATTATTTGTGACTGTACACCATTCTTAAGTAGACAAAGATGTTTAGTTCCCACTTTAAGTGAACCTTAGTCCCCAGGACATCTAAAAAGATGGATTAAAATCCTAATTCTGTAAAAGGAGGGGAGACATAACTCGTTACTAACGTAACTGTGGTTCTATGACTAAGTGATAGACCGCCAGAGGCAGTGCTGAAAGCAGTGGAAAATCCCTCATGCTCGCACTTGACTCAGAACAGAATAACAAAGTTGTCACCTCGTGACTCTCATGACGTATCTTGAGCTATAATAACTAGGGATGGGCGATATGGGCTTTAAAATATATCACGATAATTTCTGATATTTATTGCGATAACTATATCAATGACTATAATTTAGGGAATCCTGTTTCTTTTGAGCAGTGGTCACCAACATTTTTAGGCCCAAGATCCCTGACCTCGGCCTTTATGAAAGACAAGATCTACCTATTGAAGAATTGATAGAAAAAGACATCCCAGATTGTACTTCAAATTTGAGGCCTTTTACTTAGTATTTTAATTAGTGATGCGCCGATCATAGCTGATTCATAATTCAGATTTTCTTTTCTTTCTTTACACATTACTGAGTACACACGTAATGTAATGACTGTTTAATTCATACTGGAAGCCGGAGGGCGCCCTTGCGCAGGAACGCCACATATGCATAGTTAGTAGAAGTAATGCTCCAGGAAGAAGTATCCATTGATCGCTGTAGCTGAATAAAACGCAGATAAAGAAATTTGAACTGAGGAAACCTGAAGACAATAAACATGCGATTGCACAAAATATATGGT